GAATGAATAAAGTGTAGGAGTTAATGTTAAATTTTCATGTAAGCTAAACCTTATTAAAATTCTCTACTTGTGTGTGTATGTGTGCCAGGCATAGGCTTTGAACTCAAAGCCTAGGTTCTGTCCTTGAGCTGTTTTGTTGAAGGCTAGTGCTCTACCACTTTAGCCACAGGCCCCACTTCCCCCCCTTTTGGCTGGTTAATTGGAGACGAGAGACTCACAGACTTTCTTGCCTGGGCTCCTTATAACAACAATCCTCAGATCTCAGCCTTTTGGGTAGCTAGTATTAGTCATGAGCCACCAGTGGCCCGGCTGTAGAATCTCTACCTTTAATGTACTTCTAACAGACATTACCAATGTTACAGAAGTGTCTCCCAAACACAACCCCCCCTCTCTCACACCCACACCTCATAAACATAGACATCACACACACACATTACACAGTCCCCAAAAATAACCAGTGAAGAATGAATGGCAATTGTTGGTGAATGAAGTCGTTAACATCCAAAATTCTGTATTCTCCTCTCCATTGTATAGGTACTACCCAAGTGATTAAATCATCCAACAAATGCTAAATGAGCTCCTAGGATGAGCCAAGCACCATACTAAGCACTAGAAAAGAGTTCAAAATCTACCAGGGGAGAAAATCCTCTAGAAATAATGACAGATATATCTTACTGAGTTACCATTGTGATGTGTTAAGGCATAGTATATAACTCCCGTGTCACATCAAAGTGGTCCTTTTTTTCTCATAGGCAGTCAATCTAGAGCTGTAAAGCACATGCAGAAAATAAAATCCCCATGGCTTCAGATAATTCTCCAACACCTGTCTTATAAAAACCTAACTGTCCCATAGTCTCAGTGAGAGATATTTGAACATTCCCGTAAGGCTTACCTTTATTTGAGAGCAGATTGCTGCTATTGAATGACTACAGCAGGCAGATGAGAACAAACCCTCTAGCTGTGATGGATTCCTTCTAAGCTTATTCTTGGAAATGTCCCTCTCTTCCCCACATGAAATAAAAATGTGTCCTTATGCTCCAAATAACAGGATTGGAATATTACAGCATTCCTAAGGTTAAGCTTGTCATGATCTAATTTGAGAATTCATCTAGCTCTTAGACTAAGAACTAAAAGAAAAGTAATAGCTGGGACTTAGAGTTTCTGAAAATGTACACTGTTGCACACCACCCCTGAGCACATCTAGGGCATATCAATAAGCCATTAAATCCAATACCTAAAAACTATACATAGCAACACAGTAGAGGAATGCCCCTAGAAAAGATGAGACCCATAAAGGTAGATGTTTAGTAAACTGCTCCAAGTTTCACAAATAAAGTTTTCCAAACCCCATTACTTTTCAACAGTGGCTGTTGGAATTTTTTCTTTTCCTTCAGATTCTTTAACATAGTGTTATAGTCCATATATCTATTAACCAAACCAGAAGAAGCAATTTGGAAAAACACACCTAGCTAGAAACTTCAATTTTTACATAATTATCTATGGTTTGGAAATGGTTTCAGTTTTATGATATCATCTTATAGATTTATATTGCTATATGGGGTGTCACTTTGAATTATTGTTAGGTTAATAAAACTGTAAGACCAGGTTTAAGTGAAAGGTTTATGAAAAAGTGTTTATGACAGAATCCACCAGGCTTCGGGCAGGATTAAACTTAACTTTTTATAGTTTGGGATTGAATTGCTTAATGAACCCATCAGTGCTTTCTTTTCTGCCTCCAGCTATACAGTTTTTTAAATGATGCTCACCTATTAATCATCAGTTCAGACTTCCATAGGTGCCAGATATTTAGACAATGTAGAACTTAGCCCCTTAAGAAGGAAGACTATATTGTGCAACTCAATGAGAAAAGACATAAGAAGAATGTCAGATGAGCTCTTCAAATGTGTTCATGGGATTAGAACATTATTTTCAAAATGATAAACCTTAAGGATGTTCAAATCCCCCCCCCCAAAATTGAATTGATGTTAATTATACATCTTCAGGTAAGTCAAAAGCAATTATCAGAACATTCCCTAATCAGATCTTTCAGACATATGGTAACTTGTTTCTGGCAACTAAAGTACCCAAGTAAAAGACAAGAATAAAACTTCATTATAAGGATTTGCAAATCTAACAAGAAAGATCCTTTCATAAAGCACTTGGCATGTTGAAGATCTTAACTATTATCTCCTAGAAGCCAGAGAAAAAGAAGAGAAAGACATGGTTTTAAAGAATAATAAATGAGGTATAGCAAAATTATAATGTGATATGCAATTATATGGACTTACAAAAATAATAGAATAAACAATGTTCTTTAAAATAAGTCGGCAGCATGTCATAAATGCTTCATGGCACTCCATTCTGTGTAAAAGTATTTATTCTAACCCACTCTCAGAGTATAAGGCCTTCTTAAATACTTAATTGTGATATAACCAAAATCATGAAAAGGCTCAAAAATTGACACATCATTTTATAAACATCAGATGAGTAACGTGTATTCAATGGAATGCTCTAATGTTTGTACATTTCAATTTTGACATGGCCTCACTATATCAAAATTATATCTTCACAAGATTTTTAAGGAGTTAAAGCTCACCTAAGGTTAAGTAATCTAATCTAAGACTGTGAAGATAGTAAGTGGCAGAGCTGAGATATGAACACATACCCTTAGATTTTGTAAGCTACTTGAGGTTTGTCCTGTCTTCCATATCTATTATTATTTAAAGCTCATAATTTTATTAATTAAGAAGTTTTACTTTGTTCTGTTACGAAACAAATATGTATTATCTCCCTGAAAAGGGTGAAAACCTGCAACAGTGGCGCTCGCTGGACATGGATGAAAGTGGACTATACAACTCATGGGCGAGGATGGGAGGAAGGGACTGGGAGGGAGAGAACAGAACAGATGACACTGTGTGAAAGGAAACGTACTCATTACCAGACTCAGGTAATTATAATCCCTCTGCACCTCACCTTTATAATAACAATATAGTCATTTTTTATAAAGATCTGGTCTTCAGAATAAACTAAGCAACAAACATACTTGATTGCTTCAATTTGCTACTCATAGGCAACTTAATCTCTACCTATATAAGAAAAACCTATAAGATGTGATACACTTATAAAATGTTCTGAGTCAAATGAGATAATAAATGCTAAAGATGATGACAAAGTATTAGAAACATCACATGTTTTCAACCCACTTCAACTCTACTTTCTTAAAAGCATCTAGTACTATACTCCCTTGATAATTGGCACTCAATAAATTGTTCACAATTGGTATTCAAACATCTTAGTAAGCAAGAGTGCCCATACACAAAGCCTGGAAGCAATTTAAATCAGTGAAACATTGGATAGTTTGAATAACTGTTGGACTCAATTACCACTTTGCTATGTTAATGTATGAAAGTATTGACTATAGTCAACAACATACGCTCTGGTAATGAAGCATCTCATTTATTTAAGATGCACTGAAAATTTTAACTGAAAACCCCAAGGTATTCAGAAGTATTGACAGTTTTCTCTGGGGAGCATTTTATTAAAACCCAGAAAATAAAACATCAAAATATGAATTCATGGCATAAAAACATGAGAGTAAAACCCTTAATTTGGGAGAGTCTAGAAAGCTAATGAACCAAAATGTACTGTACTGTACTGTACCAACATTAAAGACTTCATTTTCTATCAGGCATCATGGTAAGCTAGGTTTGATCATTATCTACTTAAAGCTTCACAGAACTCCTATTACATCAGTGTTATTATTTTTATGATTCTCATTCTACAGCTGATGTTTCCAGAGGTCAATGATTTGTTGATGGGTACAAAGCTAGAGGGGGGAGAGTTGGTAATCTATTTCTATTCACCAACAGTGGAGAAGACATTTTCCTTCCCTTTGCTTCGATATTACCTTCCCCCTGCTGTCTTTTCCCTTTCTCTCCATTCCAGCATCTTATTCAACTCAAGCTTCCTAAGACATTCTGTTCTGCAGCTCCTTCATTCTATCCTTTTAAGACATTTTTATTATTATAGTCTAGTACTATCAATACCCAATTAAAGATGGCCATTACATGCACTGAAATAAAGATGTGCCCTTCCTTGCCCCCCTTCTACAGAAATATCCTCATAATATTATGATAAGAAAGTAAGTGTATAGTTACGTTCTGTTTATCCAGGTACATGTGGACTAGACACAGGCCCACTAGTCAAGAAAATCTACAGAAATGTATCAGTCACCCACACCTGCTTTTCCTCTTCATTTGTCTAACAATGTATACTTCTCCCCTCTGGCCTATTCTTTATTTAAACGTCATGTCTACTGAAGCTCATATCTGTGCCCCCAAATAGCTGCAAATGAGCTGTCTTCCTGGGACTGCCTCCTTGCTTTTACATTTTTTCTTTTTTAAAATTGCTTTTGTATAGTTGATATCCAGAGGGGTTACACTTACACAAGAATCAGGTACAATCAGTACAATTCTTTTTAACCATGTCTCCCCTTCCATCCCTCTTTCCCAGTCTTTCCCTCCAATCCCCAGCCATAAGATATCCAGTTCATTTCCCACATAGCGTCTATAAGCAAGTCTAGTGAGTATCACTGTTGTTTTTGTTCAACCTTGTTCCACCTTTTATGTGTCCTCCCTTGCCCTCCCAAATACAAACAAACTGACTAACAAAACAAAAGGAAAGGAAAACAAAAATATAAACAATGGCAACTAAAGAGTGTCTCTTGTTTCCTTTTCTTTGAGTTCATATCATAAAATATTGTTTTATATGATCATCTGTCCATAGCTATTGAGCTTTTGTCCACCACTCTTATGTATAGTTTCTTTGGCCTCTGTATGTTAATGACTAGGGTCCTATATAATTTATCATGTCCTAATGTTATTTATTTATTCTAGTCATTCAGTGTGTTTACTTGTAGGTTTATAGGTACATTCTATCAACCACAACTGAGGGAAACGACGCAGACTATGTTTCTTTGGCTCTGGCTTACTCTGCTTATTATGATTTTTTTCCAAATCTTTCCATTTTCTTACAAATGGTACAATATCATTCTTTCTCATGGATGAGTACAATTCCATTGTATCTCGATAGATAGATAGATAGTATATATTCTATATATAGCATATATACTATGTGGTATGGTAAACAATTGGCTATGGTAAACAATTATCCAATAAAAAAGGGTGTGCTGGTGGCTTTAGTGTGACCTGATTTGTGGTCCATTGAATAAACAACCAAGAGTATAATTCCTAGTCACATGGAAGCTCTATATTTAGTCTTTTGAGGAACTTCCACACTGCTTTTCAGAATGATTGAACAAGCTTACATTCTCACCAACAGTGTAGTAACATTCCCTTTTAGCCACAACTCTGCCAATATCTGTGATTATTTGTTTTCTTAATAATGGTCATTATAACTGGAGTGAAGTGGTATGTCAGTGCTGTTTTGATTTGCATTTATTTTATGGCCAGAGAGTTGAACACTTCCTCATGTGTCTATTGGCTATTCTTTTTTATTCCTCTGAGAAGTCTCTCTAATCCTTTAGCCCATTTATTGAGTGGGTTGTTGAGTCTTTAAGCATTTATTTTGGGGAATTTAATTTTTTGAGCTCTAAGTATATTTTAGATGTAAGGCCCCACCCCCATTCATTCCACCCTCAACATACACAGAGAAAAGGGGACATTTCAGAGATGATTCTCAAGTCTTGGGAAAGATGGTCTTTGTTCATAAAGCTTTCCTTACATTCCAAAAAGAATATGAAATGGACTATGTTTTCTTTTTTACTTTGTTTTAATATAAAAATGTGTAAAAATACTGTATAGAGGGGTTACAGTTACATGAGTTAGGTAATGAGTACATTTCCTATCAAGCATTATTACCTCTTCCTTTGCTTTTCCCCTACTACTCCTCCCTCCCCTGCCAAAAGTTGTAAAGTTCATTTTCAACATAGTCTCTTGTACATCTCATTGTTACAATGGGTCAACCTATATCTTTGTTTCAGCATTTTGTTATTTACCTTACTTACCTCCCCAAATGAGAAAAAATGTATATACAAGATGCAAAGCACCAGGATCAAATACAGTGAAAGCAAGGGTTATACCATGGAGAAAGAACATACCAAAGAAACAAAAAAATCACATAGTACATTATAAATAGATTAAAAAATAGCAAGAAAGGAAAAACTACTTGTGTCCCTATCTTGGGGTTCATTTCACTCAACATCATCTTATATGGTCATTTGTGCATAGTTTTTGAGCTTTTCTGCTTGTCCTAGACATATACTAGTTATTGCAAATAAGGGAAACCATGGGACCTATGTTTCTTTGAGCTGGCTTACTTCACTTAATATAATTTTTTCCAAGTCTTTTCATTTCCTAACAAATGGAGTGATGTCATTCTTTCTGATGGAGGCATAGAATTTATATATATATATATACATATATCACATTTTCTTGATCCATTCATCTACTGAGGGGCATCAGGATTGGTTCCGTATCTTAGCTATGGTAAATAGTGCTGCAATAAACATAGTTGTGCTGGTAGCTTTAGTATAGCCCTGTTTGTGATCATTTGGGCAAATGCCCAAAAGTGGGATTGCTGAGTCATAGGGGAGTTCTATGTGGAGTCTTTTGAGGAACTTCCATACTGCTTTCCAAAGTGATTGAACAAGTTTACACTCCCACAAACAATGCAGTAGGGTTCCCTTTTGGCCACATCCCCTCCAGCATCTGTTGTTATTAGATTTTTTGATTCTAGTCATTCTAACTGAGGTGAGGTAGAATCTCAATGTTGTTTTGATTTGCCTTTCTTTTATGGCTAGAGAGCATTTCTTCATGTGTCTACTGGCCATTCTTATTTCCTCTTCAGAGTGGTTTCTCTTTAAGTCTTCAGCCCACTTATTTATCGAGCAGTTGTTTCTTTGAGGATTTGTTGTAGGGGGATGTAGTTTTTCGAGTTCTAAGTATATTTTAGATATGAGAACCTTAACTATGGCTAGTTAAGGTCTTCTCCCAATCTGTGGGCTTTCTATTGATCTTGCTAGCTATGTAGAGCGTGTAGAAGCTCTGCAACTTCATGCAATCCCATTTGTACAACCTTTCTTTGATTTGTTGTGTTTCTAGGTCTTTATTAAGAAAATTTTGGCCTATTCCAAGGAGCAAAATGAGCATGTTTTCTACAATAAGAAAAGGGGACAAAAGTCTCTTTCCTTATTTTGCCAGTTTATTTACCAGCTTGTATATTTTTTTCTTCTTTGGTGCTGGTACTTGGGCTTGAACTCAGGACCTCTGTTCTCTCACTTGAGCACACAGTAATAGGCTGGCACTCTACTATTTGAGCCACATCTCTGCTTCTATTTGTCTGCCTAGGTTGGCTTCAAACTGTAATCATAGATCTTAGTCTCCAGGCATGAGACACCACTGCCTGGCTCTGTCTGCTCTTTGTAATAGAAAAGGCATAAGAACAGATTATCTCATTCTAAGCCACTGGTACCCTTGTTTGTTTCCAGAATGTCTGTGGTATCCATTTATTTAAATAAAATATATTTTAATGTTTTATCCACAAAATATACAATGCATCCCAAATATCTCATTCTCTATCACTTCCCCTTCTCCCATCCAACTTCTTACAACAACTTCCACAGTTTTCATTGTTCTATTTTCATGTACACATAGAATGTATATCAATCATATACACCCTTATTTACTTTCTCCATTTGCCCTTGACTGGTACCTGCCCCCCAACAGACTCTATTTTATTTTCCTGTTGTTCTTTATTTTTAGTTTATATTAATTGTACCAAGGCAATTCACCATGGTATTTATATAGATTAAAGTAATTGTACCAAATATATCACCATAGTATTTCAGATCTGCACATATTATATTTAAATCAGGATAATCTTCTCAATCGTCCTCTTTCTCCATGTTCTCTGCCCTCTATTGACCAAGAGCTTTGAGTGGGATTCCTTGTGGAGTCTTCATACATATGCACACTGTAATTGGGTATTATTTACTTAAACACAATATATTTCACAGTAAAGATTATTCTACAGGGTATACACATGAAACAGCCTGCTGGAGCACATCTCTGCAAACTTCAGCATCTATTTGAATCACTTGGAGGTCTTGTTAAACTACAGACTTGACTGCTTACCTCTAGGGTAGGCGTGGGATTCTGCGTTGCTAACAAGCTCCTAGGCAAAGCCCATACTGAAAATCTATTGCTCCGCATTAAATGTCAAGCTTCCATAGCAGTTATTCTCAAAAGTTTTGTCCACAAATCAGCAGCAGCCATACCACCACAGAATTTGTTAAAAGTGAAAACTCCCAGACTGAACTACAAACTACTAAATGGGAAATTATTCTGAGTTTTAACAAGTCCTCTTGGTCATTCTAACACATGTGAAAGCTCTGGCTATAGATTAGTAGTTCTCATACCTGGATATATTTTGCTATCATATGAGACACTTTGAAAAACAAAACTAATTTCCTATGTCTGTCTTTGGAGATTCTGATTTAATTGGCATAGAGAGTTTCCACTTCTGTCCAGATGATTCTAACATTCACCAACATTAAAGAACCACTGGCTTAGAATACAAGTAGGAATTCCACACTATAGGAATTTAGTTATTGCTGTATCCCAGTGCCTAGAAAAATGTCTGGCACAAGTTAACATCCCATAAATATTTATTGAATGAATGAATAAATAAAAAGATAGGCAAAACCCTCCAGGTTACTATAAAAACTGGTTGTGTGATGATATTACAGAAGATGAATCCTATTTTTCATCTTTATCCCCAGTGGAAAAGAGTTCAGCTTAGAATACAATGTAGACATGACTCTTCTATGGTTGAAATAGTGTTCCTCCTCAGCAACATTCGGGGCACGGAAATATAGTGTCAACACTAGCATATTTAAAAATAGAAAGCCAAGACTCAGTATAGCTATTAAACAGAATTTTAAAGTGAAGGCTAAAGTTGGTAAGCTGTAGAGGGCTGAAGGAGGGGAAATGTTATATATTCAGCCACTGAGGCTTTGAATAACTGCATTGACCGAAAGGAATATAACTGTAGGCCAACGCAAAATAGAAAGTATATTTTGCCTACCCTAATTAAAAATTCTGAAGGAAGAAAACTGATGTGCAATCCCATTGCACAGTATCCACCCATAGAAGTTGTAAGTAAGCATGTACTCAGTTAATGAATAGTAAAATGTGTGCCTTTACAGGGAAAATTCAATCATACTAAATCTCAAAATAGAATATTACTGAAACACTAAGTTTTCATTGTATTGCACAGAAAGAGTGTCTGTCCATTTTCTCAGGCTACAATAAAAATAAAATAAAGCAGACAAGGGATATGCATACTTTAGAAGGCAGACATTTGTTGTTGTCACGCTTCTCTGGACTAACTCGTCTCTTCCATACTCTCTAGTCAAACACTGTAGAATGTAGGACATTGAATTAAAGGCCCTTCCTCCCAAATCAGTTTTTCAAGATGTGTCAAATTTAGTATTCAAACCACCAGGGGGTTAATTCTCAGGCTGGCTCCACTTTTGAATAATTCTTACAGAAATAAACCCGCCCAAACACAGAAAATCAGAAGCTGAGGGCCAGAAATTAAACGCAAGAAGGAATCAGTGCATTAGAAGGTGAAATGAGAAACATTTTCCTTTTCTTGAAACAGAGTTTAAAATGGGGAATTATGCGTAAAGGAAAAAAAACTTCCTGGTCTTAGGATAAGGTAATAAAATCAGAATAGAAAGGACAAAAATGTTGATCTGATAGGTTTGAATCTCTTCATTTTTCTTTACTAAGGACACTTATTCCCAGTACTAGAAAAAGCAGAACCTGAACCTATGTAAATGGAAGTGGCTGGAGGTACAAGGTCTGTAACAAAACCAGGAAGTCGCTCAACACAACTCTCCACAACTTCTGGGTAATATAAAACAGCCCACAGGTCTAAAGCATCATTCAGGGAAATTTAAATGGAACAACATTGGAGGTTGTGAAATGGATCACTGTAAATATGAGAATTCCTTACATATGAAGGTAATATTTTACTCTAGACCTAATATAGGAAAAATTCAAAAACCATCAAAGAAGTTACTTTTAGGCTTTTCAACTAACAAATTTCCTGAAAATATTCAGAAAGAGTTGTTTTTTTCCTTATGTATTGTTCATATTTTGAACTGAATTTTTCTGCTTCTCTTATTTGTAATTTAACATATAAGATAAAGCATAAAATGTCACAACTGCCTTGATATCTTATTACAAATGAATTCTCTTAAAGAAGCTAGTATACAAATACTATAATGCAGAAAGAAAATTCAGGTTCAAGTTCTGAAGAGAACTAGGCCAAACAAAAATACTTTCAAATGAGCAGCTGTACTTGGGGTCCAAACATCCAAACCACATTAAGGAGGGACAGGGGAGGTTTCCAAGAGAAGCAAGCTGAAGCAAGTCCTGATCAGGGACAAGTACCTAGTGCAGCAGGCCTCTGGTGGGAAGCCTTAGTAGCCCCTAAACAGCGCCTAATTTGGAAGTATAGCAAGGGATATTACTTGGTGCTCTGTGGAGTTCCATAGTTAAATAGTAACTTGGTCAAAAATGAGCAACTTGAAAGAATGGAATATTCACATATTCGAAGAAGAAGGGGAAATGTTATCTATTCTTCAGAAGAAGAAGAAGAGGAACATTGCAACAATGCAATGTTCTCATTGCAACAATGAGAAGTACAAAATGTCATGTCAAAACCAGCTTTACAATGTCGGTGGGGGGGAGGGAGGGGGGGTATGATTGGGTGGGGGGGAGGGGGGAGGCTGGGAAGGGAGGTAAAGGGTAAACAAAGGAGGAGGCTGCAATGCTTGGTAAGAAATGTATGCATTTTCCTGCCCATGTAATTGTAACCCCTCTGTACAGTATGTGTTCAAATAAAATAAAATAAAATAAAAAAAAAAAAAAGAGGAAGAAAGAAGAAGGAGAGGGGAGGGGGAGGAGGGGGGGAGGGGGAGAGGAGGAGGAGGAGGAGGAGGAGGAGGAAGGAGGAGAAGGAGGAGGAGGAGGAGGGGGAGGGGGAGGAGGAGAAGGAGGAGGGGGAGGGGGAGGAGGAGGAGGAGGAGGGGGAGGAGGAGGAGGAGGAGGAGGAGGAGGAATTTTCTATGGGTCCAGAGCTTCAGGTTGGTATAATGATGATATTCTAGAGATGAACAGTTTGGATGCCTTTACAACAATGTGAACTACATGATTAAAAGTTAAAATGGCTGAGTGCCAGTGACTCACATCTGTAACCTGAGATCCGATTGGGTTTTGAAGCCAGCCAGAGCAGAAAATCCCCATGATACTCTTATCTCCAATTAAAGCATTATTTACCATAGCTAACATTTGGAATCTGCCCAGATGCCCTCAGTAGATGAATGGATCAAGAAAATGTGATGCAAAACACACACACACACACACACACACACA